ATATTAAAAAAATCATTTTCTCCATCATTCCATCTAAATTAGTGATACATGATTCCTCAGCCTCTATTTCTACAAATTTAAAACATTAGACTAAAAGGCAATGATTATATTTTTACTCCACATTTTGCAGTAATGTCTTCCACGTGGACAAGTTTTCCTGCAATATTTATCTTTTGTAGTAGCTCTTCCGGTAAAAGAAGGATTAATGTTGCATGTGAGAAGCGATTAACTCTACCACAACCCACACTTACGAATGTCATTACGATGCCGACCACTATCAGAAGATCAGCAAATTATCGGCCTTCGTCATGGTCCTATGAATATGTTCAATCGCTCGATAGCAAATACACAGTACGTGTGTTGATATCTTAGCAAATTTTCTTATCAACTGTCATTAATAAGCCTAGCCTAGCTTTTTTCGATCCCTCTTTGAGCCAATCAACAGGCTTGCTTATTGGTTTTAATTTGTAGGGAGAAAAGTATATGGAAAAATTTCGAGATCTAAAAGAAGCAGTAAGGACAATGATACGAAAAGAGTATGAAAAGGAAGAGAATACATCTAGTGTACTCAGTTTAGTTGATGATTTGCAGAGACTTGGCATATCATATCATTTTGTGAATGAAATAAGAGATGTCTTGGAGAAGATATACTCAAATTACTTCAAAAGTCATGACAAATGGTCGAAAATGGATTTAAATCTGAAATCCCTTGGTTTTAGACTCTTACGACAGCATGGATATCATATCCCTCAAGGTATGTAGTAAATTAAGGATGTTCTAATATTATCTGGCATTCTTGCTCTTTGGTTTGACTCACAACTGTGAAATCTGAATTACTTTTAACTTTTCTGTACTGAGTAGAGATATTTGAGGATCTTAAGGATGAGACTGGAAATTTTAAGGGGCATTTATATGAAGATATCGATGGTATGCTAAACTTATATGAGGCTTCCTATCACTCAGTAGAGGATGAAAGTATTCTGGATGAAGCTAGAGATTTCACAAGAACACATCTGAAAGAAAGTTTGGAGTACAATAATATCTGTGATGATCAAAATATGTCGTCGTTAATAAGTCATGCATTGGCTTTTCCACTTCATTGGAGAGTTCCACGGATGGAGGCTAAGTGGTTTATTGAAGCTTACGAGAGAAGAAGTGGTATGAATTCCACGTTGCTTGAGCTTGCCAATTTGGACTTCAACATGGTACAAGCAATACACCAACAAGATTTGAAAAAAGCATCAAGGTATGTGCATCTTTTTTCCTTGTAATTACTATATGACAAAAGAAGTCTCAAACAAATAGATACATGGGAGACATAAACGCTTAATTATTGGTTAAGGTTTGTCCATACGATCTTCCACAGTATTAAAATAAATACTATCATACATAAATTAATGATTATATCTATTTATTTATTCATAATAAACGATTTTATTAAGTAGAGACTTAATTTGCAAATGCATATATATAGGTGGTGGAAAGATACATGCTGGGAGAAGTTCAGCTTTGCTCGTGATCATTTGGTGGAGAGCTTTATGTGGAGCATCGGTCAAAATTGCATGCCTCACTTTCAAGGAAGGGGAACTCTCACAAAGGTTTTTGCCATGATAACTACAATTGATGATGTCTATGATGTGTATGGTACTTTAGCTGAACTTGATCAATTCACGGACATTGTGAACAGGTTTGTGCTGATTTTTGTAATGGTTGTAGGTCTTAGAATTATTTTGTTTTCAAATTTGTCACTGGGAAATAAAATACTGTTGAATAGGTGGGATGTTAATGTGATCGAGGAACTTCCTGATTATATGAGAATATGCTTCCTCGCATTGTACAACTCGATCAATGAGATATCATATAGCACACTGACAAATCATGGATTCTTTGTACTTCCCTACCTTAAAAAGACGGTAATTTTCCATCTTATCTCAAATGATATTCATTTCATTTCAGTTGTAATATGGAATCAATCTTATATTTTTTTTATTGGTTGAAGTGTATATAACTTTGATTTTGATATATTGCAGTGGCAGGATTTATGCAACTCTTACCTAGTAGAAGCAAAATGGTACAATAATGGATATATACCAACATTGAACGAGTTCCTTAACAATGCATATGTATCAATTGGAGCGGGTGTAGTCGTCATGCATGCCTATTTGTTAACATTAACGAGAGTTACCCATGAGGAATTGCAAGAAATAGGAAGAGCTGAAAATATAATTCGCCATGCATCAGTTATCGTGCGACTCACTAATGACTTGGCCACATCATCGGTAATTTTAAATATATATATATATATATATATATATATATATATATATATATATATATATATATATATATATGTTATGCTATTGTCATAGCAATATATTTATCATTACACGTGCACTTCATCATAAAATATGTATAATAACATAACAACAAATTATTTTATATGCATACCATTCGGAAAAGATAATGAGCACACATGTACACTTTTATTATTTAGGAAGAGCTGGAAACGGGCGATGTTCCAAAATCTATCCAGTGCTATATGCAAGAGAGTGGTGCCACAGAAGTGAAAGCAAGAGAACATATACGACTATTAATCTTAGAGACATGGAAGAAGTTGAATAAAGAACGCCAAACAGT